AGTCCTGTGATAAATGCCAAAATAAGTGTCATCATACATAGTTATATCATACATCAAACCAAGAAATATAAACAACTACTTGAAATGAAGTCCAAGAGAGCTGAAAAGGTCTTCCTCAATGGCAATAAGTTCTTCATGGTACAAGTTACTTTCCTCAGGACGACAGAATATAAACATCTCAACTTTGCTGAACTGGTGAACTCTATAAAGGCCCCTGTTCAAGAATGGTTCTTTGAATTAGCAAGATATCAATAATTTAGAAACTAATTTTCAGCTTGCTTCAACAATAATAGGTACATAAATGATATCCGTCATCAACATGGAGTCTACAAACGACCAACCTTATTGAAGGAAACCATGTCAAGCAAGGTAGTTGGGAAGGCAAACCCTTCTTTTCAACCATGAAACAGATACTGGTTAGCTCAGTCTCATCTCATTTCATTTTAGTGGAGGAGGGATCGAAAGAGGGAAAAAAAAAAAGAAAATAAAAAGATGGGGAGCAAAGGAGAAGAGGCAGATGTGAGTGGCTGTTTTATTTCATTAAATTCATTGATTAAAGTTTAAAACAAGCAGTAAAGCATTTTATTTGAAGTCTAAAGGATTTGACAAAAATGTACAATCCTCAAAGAGAATCTGAGAACATAGTCTAAAAGAATGCCACTAGGTATGGACCAACCTTGTCGCTGTTCCTGCAGCACCAGCTTCAGTGCGAAAACAGTGTGAGTAGGCTACATACTTTAAAGGCAAAGCAGATTCAGGAAGAATTGAATCCATATGGATGCCTCCAACAGGAATTTCTGCTGTTCCAATGAGACACTGGTCGTTGTTCTCGATAGAATACACCTGTTAAGAAATAAAATAAACATCACCAAATGGGATATTTATACAGAGCAATATGATGAATCCTATCAGTGTTCCCAAATTTGAGACAATAGAAATTTCTCACAACTCAGAACATCAACAACCTAGATAAATTCATGTGATCTATAAATGACTAACCGACAATTGCCAATCAGACCTCATGTAAATTTAGTACAAAATTGAAGGGGCTATGGCCTTGTGAATGAAACAAACATAATTACTTATTCCTGTTCAAGATATCTATGAAATTAGTTTTTTTAAACCATTATTTCAACCTGCATGGTGCCCTAATCGTTCCGTGGACTAGGTAGGTCCCAACAAGACAGTTCTGTATTTTCATTTTATGTTCCAATCTTCAACTTATGTCGAAAGGGTCTGCACAGATAATGATTAAATTATATCTAGAAAGAAAATAAATACAGAACTAGGAATTAAGCACCAACCTGTGTATTTTGCCCCCTTGGCTGAAAGCCACACTTCTCAACAACAGATGATCTTACAATTTCTGGTGTGATAAGAGGTATATATCCCCGTTTTGAAACTTCTGCAATTGCCCAATTAATTAGGCCCATTTCTAATAAGACTGCTTCATTCTTTAGATAATAAAACTTTGAACCACTGACCTGTAAAAGAATATATATAGCTGATATGCACCCACAAACAAAAATGTCAAAGAAAGCTATTAAAGTGCAAAGTTCATCTAAGACATGGTGGAAAAGATTTCAGCGAGTCTCAAACCTAATTTATATGTCAAAAGATGTGACCATCAGTAAGGGATGCGTTGGCAATGAATAAATAAACGAAAGACCTAATTCTTCTTTGATATAGGTAATAAATTTATTTATTTTATTAATTTAGTAACTATGACATACAGATAAAAAGTGCACCAATAATTGTAAATTTATTTGCCTATACATATGCCTCATTGTAGTCATCACACCATCAAAACCATAGAAAGAAAGTTCAATAAACACTAGGTTGAGGAATACCTCAGCTGCTGCATCAAAATCAAATAAATCAAGATCCTTTCCTAGCTCAAGATGATCTTTAATGTTAAAGTTAAACTCCCACGGACTTCTTACCTAGGCAATTCGGAAAAATAAAACATAGAGTATTAGTTTAAAAAAAATGCTAATAATGTGAAAAAAGAGTCAAGAGCTAAACCTACCATCTTTCTGATTATGGAACTCTCCTCACCCCCTATAGGAACATCTGGATGTGTTATATTTGGTAGACACTGTGCTTCCTGTCGAAGCTGATCTGTAAGTTGAACTAGATCTTCTTCTAGGGAAACAAGTCCTTCTTTCAAATTTTTTCCTGTAGGAAAGATCAACAGAGTTATGTAGGTGGAACTAATCAACAAAACGTCATCTCCCACAAGAGTTTGTATGCAATCTAGTCTCAAGGGTGAAAAAAAAGTATTACTAGGTAGTTCATACCTTCTTCCACAAGAGCTTGACGTACAGATGGCTCTAGCTTCCCTTTCATTTTATTAGCGACTACATTTCTTTCAGCTCGAAGCCGTTCAACCTCCTGCCATCTGTGACAGAAAATTAGATATCGAAGTTGTATGCTATCATTATACTAATTATTAGTCATTATTGTACCATGGCATGCCTACTAGATATAGTAATGCAGTCCAACATGGACTGTTAATGAACTTGTATCGTGGTGACACTGACATGGAACATTGAATATGCATTACATCTTGTCTTTGTTAAAATACTGAATATGCATTACATCTTGGCTTTATTAAGTAACACACTGAATTTTACACTAAGAAAATTTGGAACACATCTCAATCCTTGGTAGCCTAATAGTTGTGGCAGCCAGAATGACACAAACTAAAATCTAACCTACTCGAGACGCACCAGAACATAAAGAACATAGTAACTTGTGATCACAGGTGTTTCTAGTCCAACCTGGAGAAGCCTTGCTAACAAAAAATTTCTCTTGCACCTCTTTGAATACAGAAATCAGTAAGTCCATAAAATACCATTACAGGAAAACAAAGCAATAACGGTGAACAGTGAAGAAAAACTAAAGGAAAAGTAAGAAAGAAATAGTTGCATGTTCGGACAGTCAATCTAATGATTACCAAGTTCATTAATTGACAAACATATACTTGCAGCAGTATCCTGTCACACAAGTTCTTGTTCCAAAGTAAGGATCTAGAAGCAATATATTGAAGCACAACAAAAAATCTGAAGCATATTGACTTAATCATCACAGAGATGGTAGACTCTTGGCAGAAATAAAGATTGGCCTGAAGAGACTGTACGTAGCAGACCAGCAGTGAAAGACTGCAACAAGTGTTAAATCCAATGTAAACTATAAGAAGTATTCATTTTTCCTCTTTTGTATGATTAGGAAATAACAGCTTTCAGATCAATCTGGTAGAAAAGTAGAGCCAGCAGATTCAGAAGAATGCCAAGGAGATTGATTCTAAAGGCTTTGTCAGTTTTCCTTTGGAATAGACTATTTCTACAGAAGGTTCAATCTAGCACACATAAGAGCCTAGACCTTGTGCAAATGCACAACAACATGTCCTATGGAAACATCAACCTCTAATCTCTCCTCACCAATTCAGTGATATCTCCTAATGCAGAACAGAAGAATACAAATGAACAGGTTCGATCAAATACATCTGACAAAGCTATTTGATATGTTCTACATGTCACAAACGATCAAAGACAATAACATAAGGCCAAAATAGCGCAACACATAGTATTTAAAGAAAAAGGGGATACTAGAAAGAGCTCGATCAGATCAAAATTCCTTTAGGGCACCTTACTTCATGTGATCTTCCAAACTAACAGATTCCACAAAAATTCTGCCTGGAAAGGTTATTGAACATCAGTCTGCCGCAAAACCATGACAATGGCTGTGACCATAACCATTACTCTTTTTGTTCTTCTACACTTCGTATGCTTATATTCACTGTTTGTCAATTCGATTGATACCACAATGCATTGATCATTAAATTGAGTTGGAAAACATGGTGAGAGAAGTCCAAGATACTTCGTCCATGTGGTCACACTGAAAAAATTCAATTTCTGCCCATATCATGCTAACACTAATGGCCATGAAGTTGAAGGGGAAATCATAATAATAAAGCACAACCTGGGCCCTCCGAAGCACCATTACAGGTTAAAAGAATGAAAACCTTTTTTATGAATATAAAGGAAATATAGCATGAAAAATTAAAAGAAGGCCTGACCTTCTGGAGTTTTAGGAACTTCTCGTACAGCTCAAGAACGAGATCCAAATTGGCATTGGAATTCCTGTTCTTTATGTTGGCAGCAACAACATCCTTGTTGTCCCTAATCCATTTGAAGTCGATGGCGGCCTTCCACTGCTGTTTTGCAGCAGCTGTAGGTACCAAAGATTCAACTGAGATTGCAAAGAGGAAATTGGGAAAACTTGATAGAGGAGCCACCTTTTCCTTCTTGCTTCGTGATGGGAGCCGTGGGGAGGGCGGTGGAAGAGAAGGCCCTAACAATAGTAGGAAAGAGCACCCTGCGGAGGAGGCGGTGGTGGGGATTCGTGGCGGCAAGGGTTAGGGTTAGGGTTCGGAGAGGAGAGAACATCGACGGAGAGCGGCAGATAGAGGGAGCGAGTGCGAGACCGTGGAAGGTTGTCCCTCCGAAGCACCCGCATGATATCATCGCCGTGGGGGGCCGTGGAGGGACAGAGAGGAGGCAGAAGCCGCTGGCACCGACGGAGGCGGATGGGATGGGCGGCGCGGATGGTTGGATGAGAGGGGTTTAAAAGATGGGGGTTCCTTAGCGTCTGCCACTTGTCTTCACGTGCGTAGAATCAGGGCTGAATCGGCCGGAAATGTTTCAGGAACAGCGTCTCTCAGTGATATGGGACCCACCGAAACGGGTCCCGTTGCCCGCATACCTACGTATACACACCATGTACGTTACGTATACGGACATCCATAAATCTACTGTTCATCTCAAGCATTCTTCGCGACTCAGATATATTGATGTCCACATCTGCAGCCACACCATGCATGGCTAATCAAGTCAGACTAAACCTTCTTCTTGCCCATACGCAGAACGTGTTGTAGGATCTCCATGTATATAAGCCGCTTCACAGGACACCAATCGGATGAGAAGCTCCTCCCTTTAGGCCTCTCTCTCTCTCTCCCTCTCGCTCTCTCTCTAAAGAGAGCATCTTGGAAGCAAGGAAGGAACCTCCCCCAGCCTTGCGATCCATTAACAATGGGTGTTAGCTTTAGATATGCTTCCTCCGTCCTCCTCAGCCCAGAGGACAGCAATGGCATCCTGGGATTGGGTGACACAGAAGGGCAGGACTTCCATGGAGAAGCTGCAAGGCGCGACCTTTGGCGATTTCCTGACACGAGGAGTGGTATTTATGCGGGCATTTCGGTGGATTTTACCTTGCAGTCGGAGGACTGCGTTGCGTTGATGGTGGAGAGGGAGTCGCAGCATCTCCCACAGGGAGACTATGTTAAGAGGTTGCTGAGGGGGCAGTTGGACCTGGCTATCAGAAGTGATGCCATTGACTGGATTCAAAAGGTAGGGTTGAGTTGTTCTTTGCTCACCTGGTTTGATATCTCTGTAGAAGACTTTTGTTGCGTTTCATCCTTTCTCTGATGAGTTGAATGAATCTGACAACAGCTTTATCTTAATTCTTTTCTTTCTTGCCTTGCATTTGATTTACTTGTGTCATCTTCTTCCTCTAAATGGGCAGGTTCATGCACATCACAGATTTGGGCCTCTGAGTGCCTATTTATCTGTGAATTACTTGGATCGGTTTCTCTCCTCCTACGAACACTCGGTACAAAGAACTCAATGTGATGTGTAGCAATGTTAATTAAGTAGTAGGAAAAGTACGATCTTTCTTAATGTTCTATATTTTCATCTCCATTTACAGCAAGGTAAGGCTTGGATGACACAGTTGCTATCAGTGGCCTGCTTATCTCTTGCTGCCAAGGCGGATGAAACAGAAGTCCTTTCATCTCTGGATTTACAGGTAAAAAATATATCTTTGGACCATTATAACTTTCTAGTACTGATCATGTTCTTTTGGATGGACAAACAGATAGGTGAAGCGAGGTATGTGTTTGAGGCCAGGACTGTACAGAGAATGGAGCTTCTGGTGCTCAGCACACTCAAGTGGAGGATGCAAGTTGTGACACCTTTCTCATTCATCGATTACTTTCTGTACAAGTTCAGTGATGGAATTGTGCCAGATAGCTCATTAGTTTCTAGATCTGTGGGGCTCATTTTGGGCACTGTTAGAGGTCGGTGATTAAGATCAATGCATTATCTTTCAAAGTGTGAGAGATATTTAGATTGGATACAAAGCTTAACATGAATGTGACTGCTAATTAATTGCAGAGATTGATTTCCTTGAGTTTAGACCTTCTGAGATTGCTGCAGCAGTGGCACTGACTGCCTTGAAGAAGACCCAAGTTCTGGAGGTTGGCAAAGCTGTAACTTGCTGCAATCATGTAGATATGGTGAGATCATCCATCTGTGTTATACATTACGTCATCTAACAAATGCAATCTATGTTTTAAGAGTTAATTAGTTTGCACAACGGATTAGGAAAGAGTCTTGAGGTGCAATGAAGTGATTCAAGAGATGACATTGATGAAGAACAGGAGATATAAGAAAGGTGGTTCATCAGTTTCTACTGCGCCAAAGAGCCCGATAGGTGTGCTGGATGCTGCATGTGTGAGCTACGAGAGTGATGACATAACAGTTGGGTCACACGCAAACTGTCATCCTTCCTCTCCAGCTGCCAAGAGGAGGAAACTAAACAGATCATCATCTTCATGAGAAGATGAGGACCTTGTTTCCAACTCATTTTGATTTGTTTGCGAAAGCTTTGTTGTATTGACTGGAAATTAACAGAGAAGAAAGTTGGAATGAGCAGGTTGCTTTTGATATGAATGCATCTGACCAGATCTACAACTTCAAACCATACCACCATGAATCAGATGGGAATCACCATCTTATGGGAGCAAAAAAATGGTTTTATTTGATTCTGTTTCCTTCTTAGAATCATTACCAATCTACCATTTGTCATCAAAGGAGAATCACCCTACAGAAACGAGAACCAAAAGCAAGTAAATTACCAAGAACAAGCTCGATTCTACAGCATTCATCGCATCCTTGCTATGTCCTTCCACTGTTTGACTGGTTCTCTATAAAAGAAGAGCCCACTGGCTGGCACAGATCTTGGAGTGACAACATGCAGACAAAGACAACATTTATGGGGAGAAGTGTTGGGTAACCCCTTGGAAGTTTCAGGTTGCAGAGTGCATCAGATGAAACAGTAAAAAGTAATAACCTGGATGAGTTTGACCCCCCCAGTAATCCTGTAACATATATAGACAAGGATCAAGTACTTCCTGAGATTATTGTCTCATAGCTTTTGGCAGAAACCAGCATCAAGTTTCAAATACTAGTGAGGAATATGCATCATGTTTTCTTGTTCTAAATCTACCTGAAATGACTTCACAAACAGTGGTAAAGTGATAACTTCCTCCATTGAGGAAGCTGCCAGTCTTTTTAGTGGGCAGTAGGCACAGTGTCTGTTTGCTGCAAGACATTAAAGAAGGTCCTGCTCCACCAACTTTAGTTTAGCTATTATGATTGATGACACAATTCCCTTTGCCATGCACCTTGCCTGCTGCTCTGCTATGACATGTGTGCCTATGTCAACCAATACTGTAACAGGCCTCCATGTCTCAGTTCTCAATATAAGTTGACTGAGTTCTTTTGAATCAATATAAGTGAGTCCATGAAAGGGACCAAAGAGTAGGTAGGTGTCTTATTGATAACTGGGAAAAGGAAACTGTCATGTGGTAGGGATGCATGAAAACTGGGAGGCCTCTTTAATCTACCTTTGTTAAGGGTCATGACTTTGAATTTTATGGATTAGGGCACCCAACAAAGCCAATAAAAAAGTGTTCCTTTGGGGATGTTAGGGAAGCAGTCTTATTGGAGGATGAGGTCTCTCTTTTGTGCTTCCCAAAGGACAGACCTGAAAAGGATTAGCAGGACCAGCCTTGATGTATCATAGAGTAAGAATTTGGATTAGATTTCCATGACCAAAAGATTTCTCAAGATGATCTCTGTATATTTTATAGGACTGCTGCATCTTTGCATCTAAAATTTGAGTTACACCAAAGCCTATCTCAAGATAATCCCTGCATTTCCACATACATGGAAATTGAGTTGAGATCACAGAAAGGAGAAGTTAGTCATCCCTGTCGTTTGTTGAAAGACAATTCATTTGGTTTCCATATGCCTTCAACGATCTAAAATAAGATGGATTCTTTGGGGACCAACACATAATGACAGTCATGCATGGCAATAACTAATGCAGAGCTACTCCGATCAAACACAACACCAGTGTGCATCTCAATGCTCAAGAAGACACAGCTAAAGTTAAAGCTGAAGCACCAACAATTTTATGGCATCGGTTGGCCAATGAGCATGCTACAGTTGACTGCTTGGTTTCTAGTGAGCTGCAGAGGAAACAAGAGACAGGCAGTGACAGCTAACCCTGTGAACAACAAGAGGGCAAAGAATAGCTTGCCTACAGGAACTCCAACCTCAATCACATTAGCGTTCGTCACTCAGCTGTCATTTAAAGGAAAGTTTATGGTGGTGAAGAAGGTGGTGATGGTTGGAGGATGCAGTGATGCAGGACCAAAGGCAGTGTGGGGGGATGCGATTTATTGCCTCGTGATCAGCTTGAAGACGATCAACCGTGTGGGGAGAACGAGTCTGAGTTTGGATCTTTGGGAAGTGATTTGGTCAGAGGCCACAAATGCTGCCAGCTGATGATGCCCTGCACAGGGCTCCATCCGCCAGGGTTGAATTGCTGGTCCTCTGTGGGGGTTACCGGCGAAGAGTTGAAGCTGCACAGGGCAGCGGCCCTGCATCATGCCCCTATCTCTCGTGTATTTTTAGCACATCCTTGCATGCAAAAGAACATGAAGCACCACTGCATCAAATCCCCGATTAGGGAGGGTGGGTCTACAGGACACAGCTGTCACCTCAGATGTATTATTATTTACATATCGGTACATCATGAGTCATACATGCTAGGCATCGAGGAGGTGGTATTATAGCCATAAAGGGCTCCTAATAGATAATGAGCCAACTCGAACTCGAACTCGAACTCGAACTCGAACTCGAACTCGAACTCGACTCGATTAAAGCTTTTGATGCAAGTTTAATGTGGGCCTTTTGTAGGCATAATCTAAGCCCAACATATACTCTAGTTGGGCTTATTTGAAATGCCCACCTCCAAATCCAACATCGGCCCATTAACGAGCAAACGTCTTCTTCGTTTGAGGAATCAAACTAGTTCTAGTTTTGGATCGTAACCGTCTATTTTAATCTTTATATTTTTAAAAATATATCTATAATTAGTTATTTATTAAATTATTAGAAGGATAAATTCATTGTTTTTTCTGCACGGTTTGGATCTGAATTGAAATCATCGATTTAGATTCCAGAATCGAGATACTAGAATCGAACCACCAAAACATGGTTCAGATTCGATTCAAAATCATCTGACTGTTGACTCGATTCGATTCTGATTTTTGATCGATTTGAATGATTAAAACAAAAATTAAAGTTGGGATGTTGATAGGGAGAGATTAACATAAGCTCAAATGTGATTGATAGGTCGATCATCCTAGTTACCTATCAATCATATCACGTTGACAAGTGGAGGTCGAATATGAGAACATGTGACCTTAACAGATTGCACGTGATCAAATGACATAGGTTACTAGAGTGGTAAACATCACGCCCCGCCTTTGCTTAAAACGTCATATAATCCCCTCTTACGCTTAGTAATCTCAAACATAATAATTCTTAAACTATTTATAAAAAAATCTTAAGGTACAATATTATGAACACTCATATCGGAAAGCTCACTCCCCGACTTACTTTTACAGGATTGATGCATTACTAAGATTTTTTTAAAAATACTCAAGTAGTTCTTCGATAGAGAAAAAATGATTAGTATAGCATTTTTAGGTAAATTACTTTATTTATTTTGAAGTTTGTTATTGATAATATTTTTTGTTAGTTTGGCAAGTCCTATAGCCTCACATCGGGAAAATCAAGTTTAGTATATCCTGTTTAACCTATAAATAAGGGTCTGGGCTTTAAAGTCAGATGCAGCACAAGTAACACCATAAGAAAAACTTAAGTGTTTACTTTGAATTTAAGTTTATCCTCAGTTAAATAGTTTGGGTTTAATAGATTCAGATGTTTTATGACCTAGGAACATCTTCCTAAGATATTTGTAATAGTCCCTCACTCAATATTATACATCTCAATCATCGATATTGTTTGTTGTTTAATATAAAAAAGAAAATGATGATTATATTTATGTCTATATAGAGATATTTAATGGATAGCAAAAGTTTTCGATAGAATTTTTTATTTATATCAGCGGTCATCACGCCACGTGGCGAAGAAATGTTACGCGTGCGCGCTGACAATGCGATCAAATCAAACGCCACTTGGAAGTGCTGCGCGCGTCGCCATCATCGCCTGCCAGAAAAATCGGCCGTGCAATCCGTCCGCGCGTGGCAGCTCAGTAAACACGCCAAGCACACGCGCGGTTTGACCCGGTCAAAGACCTCCATCACCACCCACGCGTGTGACGCCAACACCACCCCGTGGGTCCCCCCTCGTACGGCGGCCACGGTTGGCCCCCTCTCGTCGCGTAACGCCAGTCGCGTACAATGTCGGCGTGTGCCGTTCCTTCCTCGAGACCCACGCGTGCGAGTCGCAGACTCGTGCGAGTCCGCCGCAGGCTTTGCCGCCGCTGCCGCTGCCATCATCACCGTTGCTTTCCCGTGTTCATGCTTTTTGGACGCTCCACGCATTGCTCCCATGTGTCATCTCTAATGCTCACCGTGTTAAAAGGATGCTCATTCCCTCCCCTCCTCTTTGTCCAATTAACACTCCCAATCCCATTATAGATTCATCCTTTCGATCACTAACCTCTTAAACACCAATTACCACTCCCAAACAAACTATCACAGAGTTAACGAGAAAGATAACTCTGTGAACGCTGCCAGAGAACGGGCGTGCACTGCATGCATGCATGCATGCCTTTTCCTTTCTACAGCGTGCGGAGTCGCTTGCGTTGCTTTGCAAGCGTGGTGTGGTGATCCTGTTCGAGACCAGCAGATAACGCCATATCTTCTACTTCTTCTTCTTCTTCCTCTTCCTCCTCTCACTGCAGCAGATAACGAATGCTGTCATCCCAAACTAAAGTCACAGAAGCTATCGAATGAGGTGTGTAAACAAGTGGCTATGCACCAAGTCTTCGTCTCCGACACATCGTATGGTATCAGTACGTGCTGAATGGTCGTCACCATCGTTGACATAATTGTTGGTGATGCAAATGGTTTAAGCAGCAGCAACAAAGTGCTCCTCGATTCAAAGGGAAAGTTACGTGTCACCCAAAACGTAGACTCTACGCTTGGGGAGAAGTATCTTTGTCGATGCGAAGGGATGGATATTAATGACATGGGGACACATAAACTAATGTCATCAAATCTTCCAGTACCTAAATTAATGTCATGTACCCTATAAAATAATCTCTTTCATGCAGTACTACAGGTTGGTGTATTCCAGTAGGATTGCATTGTTTAACATCTGAGTACTACTAAAGATTTTTGGTTTCCTCATGCAGAAGTAAACTTGGATGGATTGATAGGCTCAAACTCAAGAATCAGAATCGAAATGGATTGATAGTTCAATAGAACAAAAACTGGGATGGTTTGATTTTAATGTTTAGAATATCAAACATAAACTATCGATTCCAATTCGATTCTAAATCGATCAAAAATATTTAAATAACGAATAGATAGCATCGATTTTGAT